ATTTTTCGTGATTTTATTCTATGATACATGCTATGACAAATGCTAAGGGCTTGTATAAGACCTCTTCGTGGTCGAATGCGCCGATAACGACTAGGGGGTGCTCTCGGGTCGTTACAAACTTGGTATCAGAGCATAAGGTTGAGAATAATGTAGGATTTATGTCACAAGATACCACGTCGAGTAGAGTCTTGTTCATGGGTGTGAAGCGCGCCACACTTATGAATGAGAGGCTACGAGATGCTTATGAACTTTCACTCTTTTGTTATTCCATAGTCGTGCCAAAGAGTCCTAATTCTATTTAGTCCTTTTCTTCTAATCCTTCTCTTTTGCTTATAGGCAATAAATACAAGAAGGAACAATGCAAGAAGGGTCGGTGAGGAGAATGTGAATGAGGTGGTTCCCCCTCAAGCTCCTTAAAATCCTCAAGTTCCTATTGAAGAAGGGGCTTTGTCTAATGTTGAGATAAGGTCGGCTATTCATAATTTGACTCAAGTGTTGGCCACTCAAGTTGCTAGAGATGCTAGGGTGCAAGTGAACCCAAATGCTAGCACTACCACTTCTAGGATAAGGGATTTCACAAGGATGAATCCCCCTACTTTTTTTGGGTCCAAAGTGGAAGAAGATCCACAAGGATTCATTGATGAAGTGTTTAAGGTTCTAGAGGCTATGGGTGTGTCTTCCGAAGAAAAGGCGGAGTTAGCCACCTATCAACTCAAAGATGTGGCACAAGTGTGGTATATACAATGGAAGGAGGGGAGACCTATTAGATATGGTCCGATAAGTTGAGCTACATTCAAGATGACTTTTCTTGATAGGTTTTTCCCCTTGGAACTAAGGGAGAGAAAAATGCAAGAATTCATCAACCTCCGTCAAAGGGGTATTAGTGTGAAGGAGTATGGCCTCAAGTTCACTCAATTGTCCAAGACTGCTCCTACTTTGGTGTCGGACTCTAGAGCTACAATGAACAAATTTGTTATATTGGGGATGGATTGGCTTTATGTTTGTTTTGCGCCCATAGTTTGTAGGACCCGAATTGTGAAGTTTCAATTTCCTAATGAACCCATTTTAGAATGGAAGGGAGGAAATTCCGTTCCTAGGGGAAGGATAATTTCATGTCTAAAAGTTTGTAAGTTGATTTCTAAAGGTTGTCTCTATCATATTGTGAGGTCAAGGATCTTGAGTCCGAGATTCCTCCTTTGGAGTCGGTCCCCGTAGTGAAGGATTTTCCAGAAGTCTTTCCCGATGACTTACTCGGGATTCCTCCCGAATGGGAAATAGATTTATTGTCGAATACACAACCCATTTCAATCCCTCCTTACCGGATGGCCTCGAGGGAGTTGAAGGAATTAAAATCTCAACTCAAAGATTTGTTGGATAGGGGTTTCATCCAACCTAGTATATCTCCTTGGGGTGCACCGGTGTTATTTGTGAAGAAGAAGGATGGATCTCTTCGTATGTGTATTGATTACCGACAATTAAATAAGGTGACCATTAAGAACAAGTATCCACTCCCTAGGATTGATGACTTATTTGATCAACTTCAAGGAGCGAGTTACTTTTCAAAAATTTATTTGAGGTCGGGTTATCACCAACCTATGGTGAGAGGTGTTGATGTTCCGAAAACAGCCGTCCGAACAAGATATGGTCATTTTGAGTTCTTAGTGATGTCCTTTGGTCTTACAAATGCCTCGGCGGCGTTTATGGACCTTATGAATCGTGTGCTTAGAAATTATCTAGACACATTTGTTATTGTCTTTATTGATGACTTCTTGATATACTCTAAAAGTGAGGATGATCACACTAATCATTTGAGGATAGTATTGCAAGTCCTCAAAGATCACCAACTCTATGTTAAGTTTAGCAAGTGTGGGTTTTGGATAAGATCGGTTGCTTTCCTTGGTCACATTATTTCTAGTAAGGGTATAAAATTTGATCCAAAGAAAACCGATGCGGTCAAAAGTTGACCTAGACCTTTGAGTCCTTCCGACATCCGAAGCTTTTTGGGTTTGACCAGTTACTACCGGAGGTTTGTTGAGGGATTTTCATCTATTGCATCTCCATTAACGGCCTTAAATCAAAAGAAGTCCAAGTTCGAATGGTCGGAATCTTGTGAAAAGAGCTTCCAATTGTTGAAAGATAAGCTCACATCTGCTCCGGTTTTGACCTTATCGAAGGGCACCGAAGGGTTTGCAGTATATTGTGACTCTTCCCGAGGTTTGGGTTGTGTCCTCATGCAGCATGGTAAGGTTATAGCTTATGCCTCGAGACAACTCAAGGTGCATGAGAAGAATTATCCAACTCATGACCTTGAGCTAGCGGCCGTAGTCTTTGCTTTAAAGATTTGGAGACACTACCTCTATGGGGTACATATGGATGTGTTTAACGACCACAAAAGTCTTCAATATGTTTTTAGCCAAAAAATAATTGAATCTCTGACAAAGGAGGTGGTTGGAACTCTTGAAAGATTATGATATGAGTGTCCTTTACCACCTCGGAAAAGCAAATGTGGCTGCGGATGCTTTGAGTCATGTATCTATGGGTAGTGTGTCACATGTGGAAGAAGAGAAAAGGAAGTTAGCCCGTGATGTACATAGGCTAGCCCGGTTGGGTGCCCGACTTGAAGATTCCCCAAAAGAAGGTGCCATGGTCCGTCATAATTCCGATTCATCGATTGTTGTTGACGTGAAGTTTAAGCAACATCTTGACCCTATTTTGATGGAACTAAAAGAGTCTGTTCTCAACAAAGCAATAGAAACTCTCTCAAGGAGAAGATGTGGTGCTTAGGCACCAAGGGAGGTTATGGATGCCGGATGTGGATGGCCTAAGAGAGACAATCTTAGAGGTGGCCCATGGGTCCCGATACTCTATCCATCCGAGAGCCACCAAAATGTATCCTGACTTATGTGAGATTTATTGGTGGAACAGAATGAAAAGAGATATAGCAAATTTTGTGGCTAGGTGCTCAAATTGCCAACAAGTCAAAGACGAGCACCAAGGACCAAGAGGTCTAACTCAAGATATTGATACCCCCTCTTGGAAGTGGGAAGAGGTCAATATGGACTTCGTGGTAAGTTTGCCTCGAACCCGTAGGCAACATGACTCCATTTGGGTCATTGTGGATAGATTGACTAAATCAACCCATTTCCTTCCCGTCAAGATTTCTTATTCGGCGGAAGATTATGTTAAGTTGTACATTAAGGAGATTGTGAAGTTGCATGGGGCCCCGTTGTCGTACATTTTGGATAAAGGTGCCCAATTTACTTCCCATTTTTGGAGGCCTTTCCAAATTGGGCTTGGTACTCAAGTGAAACTTAGTAATGCATTTCACCCTCAAACAGATGGTCAAGAGGAACGCACCATCCAAACCCTAGAGGACATGTTGAAAGAGTGTGTCATTAACTTCAAAGGTAATTGGGATGACCACCTACCTTTAATAGAATTTTCCTACAACAATAGCTACCACTCGAGTATTGCTATGGCACCCTTTGAAGCACTTTATGGTAGAAGGTGCCGATCTCCGGTTGGGTGGTTTGAAGTAGGTGAATTTGCTCTTCTTGGTCCTGAGGTAGTCTATGAGGCTACGGAAAAAGTTTGACTTATAAGGGATAGGTTGAAAATGGCTCATAGTCGGCAAAAGTCTTATGCCAATAATAGAAAGAGGGATCTTGAATTTGAAGTAGGTGATTGGGTCTACTTGAAGATCTCACCCATGAAAGGGGTGATGAGATTTGGTAAGAAAGATCTCCCCCATGAAAGGGGTGATGAGGTTTGGTAAGAATGGGAAGCTTAGCCCCCGGTATGTTGGGCCTTATGAGATCTTGAAGCTTGTTGGAAAGGTCGCTTATGAGTTGAAATTGCCCATCGAATTGGCCCCGGTTCACCCGGTGTTCCATATTTCTATGTTAAAGAAGTGTATAGGTGACCCGGTGTCCAGTCTCCCTCTAGAAGGTTTAGGGATGAATGAGAACCTTTCTTATGAAGAGGTTCCGATCGAAATCTTACATCGTCAAGTTAAGAATTTGAGGAATAAAGAGGTGCTTCTTTACTATTTTATTTTTTAAATTTTTTAAAAAAAGGGACGGACTGCGTTGCTTTTAGAGACGGACTGAGTCGCTTTTTTACTATTTTTTTTTGAATTTTTAAAAAAAAGCGACAGACTGCGTCTGTTTATTTTAATTTTCATTTTTTTAATTTCTAAAGGGCGACGCATTCCGTCGCTTTTCTGGAAATTTTATTTTTAAAAACTTAAAAAAGCGACGGACAAAACCACGCTGTCCGTCGGGACTGCGTCTGTTTATTTTAATTTTCATTTTTTTAATTTCTAAAAGGCGATGCAGTCTGTCGCTTTTCTGGAAATTTTATTTTTAAAAACTTAAAAAAGCGACGGACAAAACCACTCTGTCCGTCGCTTTTTCTGCAATATTTTTCGCAGTAGCAGCTCGCAGCTGCTGTTGCCCACCTGCAAATGCAATTCAATTCAATTTTACACTATTCAGCCCAATCAAACACACAATTATAAACAATCTAAATAAAACATAAAATAACAAACTTAAAATAACATTCAAAAGTATCTAAATCATATATTTAAGACTTATAAAGTCTTTTAAAATTCGTTTTAAAATTTCAAAAAGTTCATAAATGTCTAGAGATCTAAACTAGGGAGTGAGATCTACATAATCATCCTCATCACTCTCATCGTCGGTGTCATCGGGAGCCGAAGTACTAGGTCGACGAGCGAGGTTCATCACTTGTTCTTTGATTTGCTGAACGGTCTCACTCATGCTTTGTTGTTCAGCTACTCTTTTCCGCTCCGACTCTGCTAGTGCCGTTGTAAGTTTAGCTATTTGATCCGATATAGCAGCAATCTGAACACCGTCAAGTGCCTCAGCTTGACATGACGATCCAATACCTTCTAAGCCTGACTGAAGGCGTCTAACATCGTTGCGAGAGCCTAGACCATACGCATCTACTCTTGTGTCGTCCCCCCTACCTACTTTTTCTTCCAAATCTGAGTGGACAGTTCAGGTGTCAAATTGAACCGAACTATCTAGATTCTCAGAGACGTACTTATGAAAGTCATTCTGCATATTAAATATAAGTATTGACATCAATATATATACATATCATAAATATATTCACTATTGATATATATTATTCATATTAAATAACTTACAAAAGTTCGTTCAGGCCTTTCCTCCACCCACACATCCGGATCCGACTCATTTTCTTTCTTTCTGACATGAGTCTTTTTGAAAACCTCTGGTTCAATAGGAGTGCATCACAATTCTTTTTCCTATAAATAACAACCAGTTTCGTAATGCATATTATACATCCACAAACGATGATCCATCTACAAAAATATAGATATTCAATTATATTATAAATAAAATTTAATAATAATTTTACTAGTACTAGTCCTAAAACTAGTTTAGTATTGACAAAATCACATTATTTAACTTAACTTATTTAAACAACTTAACAACTTTAACTAGTTTAGTTTTGACTTAATTCCAACAACTAAATCCATCAACAAAACCACATTATTTAATTTAACTTATTTAAACAACTTTATAACTTGAACTAGTTTAGTTTTGACTTAATTCCAACAACTAAATCCATCAACAAAACCACATTATTTAATTTAACTTATTTAAACAACTTTATAACTTGAACTAGTTTAGTTTTGATTAATTCCAACATTTAAATACATCAACAAAACCACACTATTTAATTTAACTAATTTAAACAACTTAACAACTTTAACTAGT